TGAGTTATAGACACAAGCCGTACCCCTAGCAGTAAAAACCCACGCCGGATAGCTGAACAAGTTCGCTATCCGCTACGCCACCAAAGCCCCCTTTCACCCTCTCAGTTTGGTTGCGTTTATGCCATAGTAGCCATCAAGTTGAGAGGGTAAGAGCGCCCAGGTGACGTAATGGAGAGAAATGAAGATGAAGAGGCGCTTTGAGCGTGAGATGCGGGATTGAGTACCTCCAGGGGTAAAGTTTCTTGCCCACGTGATAACCTTCGCCCTAACAGCCTTAACCACCAGTTTTGATGGTGGAAGAGGGTCCAAATTCTTTGTGTAGAAGGAGATTTCGGGCTACACGATTATGCACATTGAGTCTATATGCCCCTTAACCCCCCCCCCAAGGCGAGGCAGCACCGAAGTATGGACTGAAAACCTGAATTAGTACAAACCATTGATTGTTGTACGTTCCCGAGTTGTATTTTGCGTAGATCTTACACCACTCTCTCGCATCGCGAGCCATTTGGTTTGCTACAATGGCACGAATCCATGTTGGCAGCTAAATTATTCTAATAAACTTATGCTAGCAGTAAAACGTAATAATATATCAAAAATGCTATATAATATAGTTTCCCCGAGCTTTTACATTTGATTTATTTTATATTTCAAGCCAACAAGCAAATTGCAATATAAAACAATTGCAAATTTGAAATCAAAAGTTCAGTGAGAACGAGACTGCAACTTACTTGACCGACAGCTTTGGTATTGTTGAAGAGGGTTACGTCGAAAACGCTGATTGTCGTCTCAATGACAGCCTAAACGGTTTACCATAAAGACAAATCCCGTGATTGCGTACTGTCGGCAATGCTGTTCAGTTATTTATGATTCTGTACTCGCTAGTGACTTTCAAGAAAGAAGAAAGCAAAAGAAAATCATCGCAAACACTCTAAGTTAAGGCCCCTTGCGAGTCCCATTGTACGACTTTCAGAACAGCTGGGAACTCTGGGACACATATGGGTTTTTTCGCATCAACCACTACTGGAAAGGAATTTTTGAAGGCCAAATTCTTTATGTTCTCTTGAGGGTGGTTGCATTAGAATGGAGATTTCTACGGCTTCGAGAAGAAGCTTAACAACTAGTGATATTCATCACTACGGAAAACGAGAAAGGAGGTCCGGAATCAAAGGTCGTAACGGAATCTGTACTGCTCGGGAAACACACCGTGGTGCGAAATGGGTTACGGTGATGTTGCACCAATACAATTCCATCGTTGGTGAATGAAAGGAAAGTGAACTCAAAGGCAGTGTTCATTTGATGTTCCCGCGCCCTTTCTGGATATCATAGCCCTCCCTATGAGGATGCAGTATGTACTAGTTTTGCATCTCAAAAAGAGGATAGCGCCGTTCGCTAGTGAAGAGTCGGCCGCCCCGCCCACCTGGCCAGCATGGGGTTCTATATAGGGCATTTTCCATGATTTTTTCTGCTTTTTTCTTCACTACTGGATCACGTATTATATGAGCTCCATAACTCATTATTCTTGAAAGCGGGCTCAGCCTTTAAAGGCTAGGGCAAAGCAGTCAAGGCAGCCAGGTGGACGGGCGGCCTCCTCACAAGCGGGTGCGCCATCCTCTCGTATTTTTGAGCTGCGAAATTAGTACATCCTCCACCCTTGTCGACAAAGCTACGATATCTAAGAAGGGCGTATTAGCATCAAATGAATGCTACCTTTAAGACGAATCCTACCCAGCTAAACGGATCACCTTTCGCTGCATGTGTCCCCTGTGCGTGTACTTAAATGGAGTACAATGGACCGCCTTTCTAAAATGGCGCTGAAATTTGTAACGTTTCGTACATACACTGGAATAGTCTGCTTACCAGTCCTGAAGACATAAGTGCGAAGTCATCTGATGAGTAGAGGAATCCAGGATACGAAGCCATCGAAGTGGCGTAACCCGGGAAGAATTCACGCTCTGTAAAATCACATAATATAACCATTTCTTCAGTGCCACAAAATTTCGAAATATCTCGAAACCTAGTCACCGTGATTTGTTTTTACTTGGGAATACTCACCATAGCCAAACTTGTAAAGCTTGAGTACCCTGAGCATGTATTGGAATCCACTCATGGTTACTTGGGAGATGAAAAGATCCGCATTATTCGGTGCCACCTGAAAAATGCTTTCAATGAAAGAGAAAACAACCGAGTTTATGGACTAAGCTGATATCTTCCGGAAACAGGAATAGATGAGGGCCAAAGCGAGCCAGTTGTGAAGGCCCCTTGTCTTTATTGAGATGTCTTCTAACAGCAAAAAAAAAAACAAACCTTGATCAGTCCAGAGCAATGGCCTCCCACTTGGTCCTCGACTGGATCTCTCGTCTTGTTCAATTTCTTCTCCAAGTCGTAGAATTCTCCATTCCAGTTTAAGTACCTAAAAAAACAAATAAAACACAAAAATTCATATTATTACTTGTCCGGTCGCGACTTCTTTCAGGGGATGCTTCAGTCATCCCACATAAGCGGAGCAGTTTTTGCACCCCTGGCGTATTCTACGATTTGTTCTATTTAAACATCATTATCACAATCACTGCTAGCGGTAAGGCGTCGTCGCCGGGTGGGATCTAAGGCAGCTAAGGCGGTCTTTTTCTGCCAATGATGCCATAGTGATCCCGCCACAATTGTTGCAACATCTGTCCCGACTGCGTCCAGCTGCGCCTCCTTACACGCCTTTTCGTTTGCAGGGGACCATACGTCTTGTGGCTAAACATGAAAACGGTACAAATCGAAAGAAAGCTGAAATAACGGGACCTCGCGGCTCGAAAAAATTTTTTGCTACTTTTGCTTCACCATTCCCTTTCTCCTCAGCGATGGAGTGCACCACTTAATGGGATGCCCCGCCACCCCCTCCCCCGCAGCGATGCTCTACCATGCTTATCAATTTCATCCCAACTAGCAGTGATCTTAAGGAGTGACTCATATGCCTTGACTTAGACGGCTTCAGAAGGAGAAATCGTTAGAGCTTATTGAGGTGAAAGAAAAGCAATGAATAGCGGAAAGCGGACACTACTCAAACTTTTACTACCCAATTTTCCGAAAACAGGCCGGATCTTAATCAGCTTTTTTCTACGGGGGCAGATTCGGCTGAAAGTTGGGTTTTGGGGTGATTCAACCTTTTGAAGACGAGCATTACATCCGCTTGGCCTGAAACTGCCTGACCCCTTGCCTCCACAGGCGCTTGGCACCAAAACCCTAATCACGCAATTCGCTGAGAGAACCAGTACGCAGGGTAGTTTAGACCAGCCGACGAACACGGAATATCACAATCCGCCTGCAGCCTGAAACCGCGCCTGCACGCGCCCCCCCACACATAGCGATGGCTGCGCCAAAATACCCTTTCGGTAGCAAAAACACTGAAAACTGCTTGTATACGGAAGGTTAGTTTGGCATATTGTGCACTATCACATTCATTTTCGATTCGTTGGCGCTTGGCGCATGCGATTCATTTGCCACTGAACCTGACCTGAAGAAATCACTGCTTTCTCCAGCGCTCAGCCTAATAAAGCGATGCCAAATAGCGAGCGTTAAATGTTATATTATGGATGCAGTGGGCATCAAACCACCTCATTATGCAGGTTCTTATCGATTTGATTAAAAAAGAGTTTGGCGCCAGATCAACGCCTAATGGCTGGCGCCAAATGGCGTCAGGGCTGAAAACCAATTTGGTATTCGTGATCAGGACAGGACATCAAATAACCCTACTATGCAAATTTACACTGAATTTGGTGAGGAAGGCAGCGGCGCCAAACTGGCGCCAATTGGCGCCAATTTGGCGCCAGCGCCGAAAACGAGTGCTATATTCGTGATCAGGACACCGAATTACCTCTGTGGGCAAAGTTTCAGCAAAAAATTTGTTTGACTTTTTGGGTAGTAATGGTTGAATAGTGCCGAAAAGCCTAATATAACTGAAAACAGAGTAAGGAGAGTGTTATTATGTACACTACATAGTAAATAGGTAATAGTGCTTTGAAAATATATTACTGCGTTTGAGTGGCATATTTTGATATTTTGCTTACACCTTGGCTACAAGAATCTGAAACTTACAAAACTGCATGCATTTCATAGGTTATTCGAGGTGTAATGGATCGAGCTTCATAACCATCGATCAAGCCAGTGAGCTGGTAGTACGTGCGATTGACCTGAATTCGAATAAAGATAACTGGATCGGAAATTGTCGATTCTTAAGAGCTACTCAATATTACCTTCAAGTTTTACTTACTGCATATATACTGGGCGCCTATACAGGTTTTCTATGGGTAAAAGACTCTGACGTGCGACACGAGAAAGGAGCCTGTCCTGAGAACGTTACCAAAATCTACAGTAATTAGACTTATACCCCCTCCCGCATTAATTTCAGATCGAGTCTGTGCCATGCACACTGACGACATTTCAAGTTTCATGGCTGCAATTTAATTTAGCTGTAAGAGGCGTGCCCGAACTCCTTCGGTACTGTAGTAGTAGGTGCAGCGACGCGACTGCGTAGCGTTCTTCGTTCCTCTGTTCCTCGAGACTCCAGTGCCTGTACTCTCCTGAAATTGAGCCTCAGGCTGCGTTGATTCTTCACCATCTAGTCACGCGATTCGGAGATGGCGCCACTACGACTCACCTCGCTCCACTGCTAATCGTTAGACTGTACATACTCACACAATATGATACTTATCGCAAACTTCGCGGTCGTTCTCTAATCTTGCGGCAGAGCCGCTTGTGTCGCTAACCTAAGTGTAAGTACCACCGTAGCGTAAGGAAGGTAGGACAGAGCGCACATCGTCCCACCTGTCCCGATTAGAGTACAAGTGTTCGTTCAGTATAAGGAGGGAGTAACTAAGAAAATCTGCAGGAGTGCCCTGTTTGCAGTGGTCCTGCATTGGAGGATTGTAGAGCAATAGGACAGTCTTCTATGACATTTCAGTAACTCACTGCCGACCAGTACATGTCATCTCTAGACGTGGAGGCGAGCGTTTGCTTGATGTAATCCTGGTTTTGGCCAACAAATTCCTTCATTCGATCACAGTACTGCGTGAAATTCGTGCAGTAAGTCTCTACTGTGTTTTGAATGTGGTAATGAAGCACTTCGCGGGAGAGTACACCTGGTAAAAGAAGCATTCAAAATTTAATGAAACGATCAGCATACTAAAAGAAGAACGTGGGCCCCAAATGTGCTTGATGTTACCTTCAAGGTATCCAGCCGCATAGGCCTGAAGCTCGGGCTCAAATTTTGCTCGAGTTTCAACCTCCAGGAATGTCCATCTGCAAGAAAGCTCTTAGTCGTAGCATAGGAGAGCCTCCCGTTTTCCAACATTCAAAGTGATAGCCTTTACAATTTTCAGGGATAAGGAAATAGGTTAACTGATTTACCCGGATGCGTTCACTGCGTTCTTCCACTTTGCTACAGCAACCTGTTCCCGACAATCGAATCCTTAAAAGGTAAGAAAAATAAGAAAAAGGTATAATAAGCAATCGAGCAGATGAGCAATCTTACTTCTTCTGAGGATACTGAGGATAAGCCACGCACTCGCTCCTATCGGGAGTCCACCACGTGTTTAAAGTGCGCATGGCCTATGCAATTATAGGTTCCAGTCTGCGTAGAGTTTAATATTTGCTTCCTTGGAGATGGGCTGACAGTACCAGCTATTGAGTTGATCGGAGAGGTCTTCCTCCACT